AAAAGTGGTTTATGATGTCCCTACTCCATTCTAAAAGTGGTTTGCATTCCTTGTTCTGTCCAGCAGCTATAATTTTTTTCATCAGATTTTTAGCAGCATGCCAAATATCATGGGAGTGTTTGATTCCTGGAAACCTGTTTTCTGCAAAAGTTGTCAGAAAAAAGTAGCACCAATACACACAGAAATGAAGAAAGAAAATGAGAGAGGGACTATCATTTACTAGTACTCACTCATCACTGCTCCAATTTGCAGGTGTGCATCAGTTACCACTTCAGAAACTACAACACCATTCTCCTCTAAATCCTCCATTGCCTTTAAAAACATGCCTTTTCCATATTTACACTTTTCTTCCCCGTCTCTCTTTTGTCCATTGTTACCAGTGACACTATTTTCTTGGTACAGTTGTCCATCACACTGTATGTGCAATATTGTGCACTATGACCTGAACTGTCATTTCTTCCATCACCTAAGTGAAATATAAATGAGAAAAATAGTGTAATTCATCATCATCAACACCATTCTCCTCTAAATCCTCCATTGCCTTTAAAAACATGCCTTTTCCATATTTACACTTTTCTTCCCCGTCTCTCTTTTGTCCATTGTTACCAGTGACACTATTTTCTTGGTACAGTTGTCCATCACACTGTATGTGCAATATTGTGCACTATGACCTGAACTGTCATTTCTTCCATCACCTAAGTGAAATATAAATGAGAAAAATAGTGTAATTCATTGTCCATCCAGCTAAAAGTATTTATATCAGAAGACAAAAATAATCTCCCTGTGAATAGAAAATACACAAACCTAGAGCAATAATACTTTGTCCTTGCAAGTTTTCAATGATTTCCCTTTGCTGCTCCTTCCAGAAGGCATTGATGGTTGGCACAAGGTATTTTCTTTGAATAGTGGTAAACTTTGAACAACTTGGAAAATACAGCTTCAAAAACTTTGCAAATAGTGCACACTTTGCAAAATTATTTCCTGATGTTAAGATGGCAGAAGAAATTTGGAGATCACCTCCATGAAGCCTTCTATTGAGCACTGGTTGGGAACACCATCTATATGCTTCATGCTTATTGGTACATTCCTTAAAAATGAAAAAAAAATGTTAAAATGTCCGTATGTATTATTTCTGTGGTAGAATGAAAACACAGTTGTTTTCTGAGAAACAAGGTGAATTACCCAGTATATATACAGTGTTGATCCTATATTTTCTGTGTGTAGACTCACTAGACTTGTACAACCTTTCACCTTACAACTGTCTTCTATATTAATGCTGGCTAACCTCAGCAGACACTTCTTGTAAACAAGACAGGTCTCATCTTGAGTCAACAAATGTACATTTTCCTCATCTTTTATCTGTATGATGCCAGAACCCACCTCCTCCTGTATATCCCGTTCATCTTCCGCTTCTTCGCCCTCTGTCTCCTCCACACCAAACTCTTGTTCCTCAAGAGTCACTTCCATTAGACCTAACATGTTGCTTGGCCTAAAATGAAAACCGACACTACAATACTACTTACTTTGACAAATAAAAAGCATTTTATTCTTATTTGTCATGATTTTTAAATTGAAGAGGCAGTTCATATCAATATTATATTGGGACCTATTGGTGTTTAATGTAGCAGCATTATTCTTACACAATGTAGGAGAGAGATCTTTTGTGTGAGACAGATGCCACAATGCTCACCTGAGTCACCCTGGCCCTGCTCATCTTCATCAGACCTTAAAAAGATTTCTCTTTACTGTTATGAAGCCCCCCCCCCCCTCCCCATATTGCAACTCCACCAGATGATCAAGGACTTACATAGGCTTCCTGTTCTGGGGATGGGGATTTTTTTAAAGATTTTTTTTACTATTTACAAAAAATATTATCCCTGATTCTAGCCTCATTCTAACCCCAAGGTCCATGATCTGAAAAAAAAAATTAATCCACACTGCATAAATATCTCCATATTAATATGATTTAGTGTAGCCCTGATTCTCTTGAAAAGATTTTTTGAAATTTTCTTCATATTCCCATATAAGACATGTAGTAGTAGAAAATGTGAAAATTTAACGACAAAAGATGAATTTAAGATGACGGACCACAGGTAATCAGAAAAGCTTAATTGAACCTTAAGCTTAATTGAAGTTCAGTTGGACTAAATACCATTCTAGATTTAGAAATGTTCAACAATGTGCGCAGTTGCAAGTCTATGCTAAACATGCTAAAATTTCTTATCCCTCTAACAGAAATTTGTGAGTGCCCATTGTAAACAGGCCTCAGTTGTTCTCCCTGTTGACAAGTTTCCTGATGAATCTCAACAGTTTTCTAATTGCACATCTACCAGTATTTCAAAATGTTCATTTTCATTTTATATCATTCTAATCAAATAATATTTTCCAAAAAGAACCTGCTTTTGACTGTACTTATTGCATGGTTATCAAGAAAAATTACACATACATGTAAATATGTTTATAAATATGATTTGCATAAATAATTACCTTAGAGTAACATTAAAACTAGGTTCATATTCTTCATCTGAATCCAAATCAGTGATGCTTTCTTCAGTCACATCTATTGTTAAACTGCAAATCCAAAGTTGAAAAAATAGCTGATATAAATGTAATCAACTAGTGAAAAATGAAGAAATAGGACAGTGATAATATGTCATTATCCATTTCTTACATCTCCGCTAGCCAAGGGTTTTCAGTCCACTCCACTCCTTTATGGGGAGTGGAGTGGACCAAAACCCTTGGCTAGTAATGTCTTAGTAATTCCCCAGTAGGAATTCGAATAACAACATGTTAACATCACTCAGCAGAGTTCTGATGAAAATCATTTTAGATGTTATTCAGTTAATCCAAATAATGAAATTTATTATGTTTTTACTTACTCAAATGGATCAATGAATGAGGATTCTCTGGTGTTTGCAGTACACAACTTTCTTTTTTATGACTTGGACTGTTATAAAGTTATACACAAGTATTATTTCATAACAAAATAAACACTAATAATGTTTACTTTTCACCAGTTTGTTTTCACAATAATTAAATATTTTTTTTTGAAAACTTACTTTGCCTGTGTGATATGTCATTCAGTATAACTCAATGTTTTATTATCCAAGCAACATTTTATCTTTAAAATTAAAAAAAAAAAAAGCAAAATTATTTGAATTTACCCAGGAGATTCTTCGTTACTTAATGACAGTTGTATTGGCTGCATCAGTGGCTTCTTAGCTACATCTGTATCTGTATTCTCACTTAATAAGAAACAGAACCATGCATTAACAAGGTACCAAGTGAACTTGTTACCTGACGGACTCATAACCAAGTCAACTCGACATTTACCTTAGGGCTGAAGAAATCTCAGATACATCTGGTGGATGAAGGTCTTGTACTCTCTGTTTTCTTATAGGTGTTGAAGAAACATTTTGCTGAAGCGAATAAGAAGCTGAACCTGACTCTGTCTCACTGTCTGATGAAAATCTAATAAATACATTAGATTATGTTTTGAAAACACATGTGTATTTATTTATGACATTTTCTTTTCATGTTATAATACTGGCCGTATGAAATATTTTCAAACACTTGCCAAAAATCAATTATCTAAAATGAAAGATATACATAAACTACTTTTACACATACTCATAGCATTTAGCTATATTTTTGTTGCTTTTTACGATTTTTAAGACAAAAACGTATATATACATTATTACTACGTACCCTTTGGGGGGCCTCAAAATCCAGCGAATTTCGAAGTGCAAAATTACGAGCATTGCTCTGTTCAAACGGATTTTCTTTACAAAATTGATTATACTTATCTTTTTCAAAGTATTAAATTTGTTGTTGTTATTATTATAACTTTGAAAATATTACAAAAAGTAAAGGAAACTAGCAGACCTGTCAAGCAAGATTTTGGCTAGTCCAGCATGCGTTTCATCGAGTTCTTTTTTTAGCATCCATCTGTCATACTGGTCACCGAGGTATATTCTAGTCCTAAAAACTGGTGCCTTGGTGCCTTGTTTCGCTCTGTTCTAAGTCGTTTTTTCTCACATTCTGTCAAAATTCTCGGTCTGCCGACATTTCGCTTCTTCGGACTTGAAGCCATGCTGCTTTGTTTATGCTTTCTGCGCATGCGTAAAAGCATGGAGGGAGGAACGAACAATATTTTCTTGTTGGGGCATACGATAATTTATTTTTCTCTGTAAAAGTAGATTTTTTAGGTTCTGAAACGTATAATTTTATGAAACCCCATACTTTCAAGAATCAAACAAAATTTGCATGGGCCTTGTAAAAATTCTACTTTTTAAATTATTCCAGTTTTTGCGTCACGGTGTCACTTTAAATATTTTATAGCAGTTGTGACATTACTTTTGGAACAACCCTCGTAATACATCCAATTAAACACAATGGATGTGCATCTTAAATTGTCAAATATTAAATTGGGTAAATGTAAGCACCTGTTATAGAACTATAATCATGTTAAAAAATACTAGATTGTGAAATTTTATGCACAAAGTCTTAAAAACACATTGAGTGAAGTATCAATACATTCATAAATACATGCACGAAACTCACTGGATCGAATTGTCAATCAACGAAACAGGCAAAATTTTCTATGGTCTAGATTTCAGGACCAGGAGAGCTAGTACAGTCAAAGCTCGTTCTCGAACTCAATGGAACGAAGAAATTTTTTTTTTTTTAAAAATTCGAGATATCCAAGTATTCGAGATATCCAGGGCAAAATATTTAAAGAATAAGGGGTTAAGACTTCCAAATCACTTCGATATACCCATGGTACACATATTTGAGATATCAGTGTTCGAGATTTGTGAACATTATGAAAGTGAAAATCATCTAATCTGGAATATCGGTACTATGAACAAGAATACTAGTTGATATTATTATTCGATTGGAAGAAAATGCATTGATATATTTTTTTACAGCACAGATTATGTCAAAAATTCCAAACAATAGTGACATATTACCACAAAGAACGTCTGAAAGAACATTACCCGACTGGTGAAATTGATTTCCAATAACAGTATCATTTTTACAAGCTCTGGAACACACCCCTAGATCTCCAAACATGTTACATTCTTGATCTTGTAGGCAATCAGAGGTATTCCTGCACCAGCGTTGATAATAGAAAGCTATACAATGAAAATAAACAAGGTCCATGTTTAAGCGACAAGTATCATGCATTTCCAGAAGTTATACTGTACTTGCAATTTGCAAATATACATGCAGTGTTAAAACGAACTTTGAAAAAACACACTTTGATTTTTTTTTTCAAAGTGCGTTAAATTTGGGATCAATTTAACGGATGTTGAAAATAAAAATCATTACATTTCAAAGTGCGTTAATATCGACCATATTAACACACTTTGAAAAAAAAAATGTGTACTGCTTGGTCAATTGTGTAAGTCAAATATGTGTAATTTCTACAGAGAGATTATCAGATATGGTGACAGATTGATATGTGACGACGGTTTAGCAAAAAGGTCATTAATTATTTGATTTTTATGACAATGGAGATTAATGGACTTTCAATTTTAAAAGAATTGAAATTCAAGGTACTTAGGACTTCCTTATACTTTTCACTGTATTTAGAATTTTCTAGTTTTGTATTTTTGATATGACCCATAGGGGTACATGTACGAGAAATGCGACAAAATTGTGTCCAACTTTATATGCTCATTGAAAATAATTTTCCCGCACAATATGATGCTCTTTTTATAGTTATTTGATAATTATTTAGAAGTATGAAAAAATTGTTTATTCCCGTACAATATGATGGCTTTTTATTTTTTTATTTTTTACAGTTATCTGATTAGTATTAAGAGTATTGAAAAATATATTTATCCGTTTTATATAATTTTTTATTATTATTATTCTTTTTAGATTTATATTGCATTTATTTTTGTAAAACTACTTTGGCCAAAGTATAGTCAGTTGGCTATTGTTGCTTCCACTTGAGCTTCTCCTCCTTAATATAATAGCGTGATTTATTGTTATTATTATTATTTTTTTTTTAGGAAAGCTTATCTCAATGTTTTTTTATTTATCTTTCGGTTGACTAAATTTTTTGTGAGAAAGTATATCAATGCCATACCAGTTATGTAAATACATATATTTTGGTAGGAAAGATAAAAGTTTGGGCTGAGGGACCTTATACCTGCCTTCTCCTTGTTCTCAGAATTAGATAATTTCATCAGTTTTTTCAAAAGAAATATAACAAAATAATGCTGTCTATTACCAAAGTCTAGGTCAAGAATTTTGTGTAATACGTATTTTTTCAAAGTGCGTTAAGTGTCTGCATGGTAAAAAATGGTGATGAACACTCTTAACGCACTTTGAAAAAAAATTAAAATGCGTTGATTTTGTCGCAAATTTAACGCACGTGGAAAAATGTTTTCACAGTGCGTTGATTTTGTCCAAATTTTACCTCACTTTGAATTTTTTTTTTCAAAGACCGTAATTGAAGTGCATTGCCGCAGTGCAAGTCCCTGTTCATGTACCTGAAAACACATCTTTCCCAGTACATAAAAGCAGTGTATATCATTAATATAATGATATCATTAAGGGCTTTATTATAGCCAAGTCGATGTATATAAGTACTTGCATACAGACTAATCCAAACTATGGCATGATCGTATGGTCCATGTCATAAGAAGAGTACTTTTACAAACAGGGGTACATGTACTCGTTTCATGCCTGCTGCATAAATGAAGCCTTTACTTGATGTTTGACATTAACTAAAAGAGAATATTTCCAACGTTGATGCTACATGAACACTAAGACATGTATTCATATCAGTAAAGTAAGTCAATTAATTCATGTTATGAAGTATACACTAAAGTATTTTGTTTAAGAAACTGCTGATGGCATATATATATATATATATATATATATATATATATATATATATATATATATATATATATATATATATATATATATATATATATATATATATCCAAAAAATGAAAAGAAATATCACAGTGTCCGGTAATTAATATGAAAATTAAAAATAACAAGGCAACAATGTTAGTAAAACGTAAGCGCTTTCATTATACTTCTTCAGACGTTTTACAATTCAAAACAATTCAAACATGTGACGTTATAACGCTACCAGGTAGCGTTATAACGTCACATGTTTGAATTGTTTTAAATTGTAAAACGTCTGAAGAAGTATAATGAAAGCGCTTACGTTTTACTAACATTGTTGCCTTGTTATTTTTAATTTTCATATATATATATATATATATATATATATATATATATATATATATATATATATATATATATATATATATATATATATATATATATATTAGGGATGTCAACGAATATTCGAACATTCGAATATTCATTCGATGAGTTGATATTCGAATATGAATTTAAGATTCGAATATTCGGTGTTTTTCAGATTTCATAAAAAGAAGTATTGTGATTTATAAATTTTTATTAGAACAGTGCTGGAATCATCCCCGTTTACTGGAGATCAATTTTGATCGCCTGATTTCCTTCACTTACTTTCTTATCTTATAAATGTACTAAATTATTTTGTTTTGAGTAAAGTGTCAAAGAATTATAAAGAAATGTTTTATATATAATACAAAACGTACTTTCGTAGTTTTTATTAGTTAAATACCATCGGGTCTAAAATCGAGGACAACAAAATGAAAACCGTCTTTAAATGTCTAAAAGACGTGAAGATTATACTTATCAAAATAAATTTAATTGATCATTGAATGAATGATCGATAGAATTAGTCTGTAATCACATGTAATATTTCAGAATAAATGTGTAAATTACTTGATTATCTTGGGTTGTACATAATCCTGAATTTTATATTCATTATCGGAAAATTAGTTAATTACCTAAGAATATTGTCTATGGAAATGTTTTTTTTTTTTTTTTTTAATATTTTAAAAACATTGTATCAAAGATTATAAACATATCTCTTATTAGGCTGATAATTGTAATTAATTACAAGTATTGAAATCTGAAAAGTATACGACTATCCTGCCTTTGGAAAGACGGCTTGTTCCTCAGTTGGAGCTACTATAAAAACACGTGTACCATTTGTTAAAATTATACTTTTCCACATTTAAATCAATTATTTATTTCAAACATTGTCAAATACCAAATGGAATTCCTTATTGTACACCTACAAAAGTCTTCATACAATTTTACTTCCAATATAAGAATACCTACGCTAAACCTTTCATGAAAGTAGGATGATGCATATTTAAGATAAACCAGATTTTATTTATTTTATCGGATATTTCATTGAATATTCGAATATGAATAATTGACAAAATTGACATCCCTAATATATATCTAATATATATATATATATATATATATATATATATATATATATATATATATATATATATATATATATATATATATATATATATATATATATATATATATATATATATATATATATATACAGACAACATAGAAGACTGTTGTTTTCAGTTATGGAGAAGATTGTGGATCAAAGCTTCAGAACCTTTTGTTAAATCTGAAACACATGTCTATATATTTACTTCTAGAATTTTATTACGTTGCTTTTTCGCATAAGATAAACAGTATGAACTTGTATGTTTTTTTTTTTTAATCTTTTCATTCTTCAGTTTCTAATTAGAGTTAAGTAGGTGTTTTTGACTGTGAAGTATGTTTATGAACCAAATGAAATCGCATTTGTTTATAATGATAAGGATAGCATTTAATGTTGAAATCGCTTGAATTTTCGTATTTAATTTTAGAAGAAAACTTACCATTATTTTCTACTTCTTTACACTTTATTGATAAAATTCGACGACTGTGATTATTAACTTTTTTACAGTCAACATCATAGAGCCATGTAACATTCCTAATCTTGTTGAAAACAGTTATTTGTGCCTGAAAAATGTCGTACAATCTACCGTCACGTTCATCGTAATTGAAATATGCCAAGCAAGATGAATTGCATCCTCCTTTTTTATCTACAAATAATAAAATAAGCAGCAGATAAGCTAGAATACACATCACTGTTCAGGTAACCCATTTAACAAGTCAACAAAATAAAATTTTATTTTCGTGCAGGATACATGCATGTCGATTATTATTCAGACCTTACATGGTGTATATATTTTAGAACATTTTATCAAAATATATCTAAGGCTTATTATAAAAACACAATGAGTTGACATAAAGGAAGAACACCAGTATTTAGAGTAGTGATGATTATTCCAACAACTAGGCTCTTTTTTGACATACATGTAGGATTTCATTCTATGGATTATTAATTTATTTCAGTATTCCATGTTTCTCATTGTTTCTGAGGGGCTTTTTACTGAACATGAGGACCAATAAAATACATTATAATAATTAAAAATGATAATATTAATAATAAAATAAAATCTTTTATTTATTTTTTTTTCCCACTTTTAAAAGAAGTATTCCATTTTAGTTTTTGAGAATTTAGGTTTTTATTTCATCTGATCCTCTTAGCTGTCTAGTGTCTATTATGTTACACTTGCTTTATTTTATTTAATTATTTATTTATTTATTCATTTTATTTTATTTATATATTTTTCTTTTGCCTTTATCTCTGTCATTATTACATAAGACATCTTAGTTTGGGATATTCCTAGGAGAGTTTTGATTTCATTCTAAGTTTGTCAAAGATGATTTTCAAATTTTTTTGAAGATGACGTTTACTCAGGGTTTTAGGTAACAAAAGCATATTGCTATAAAGTTAAACTCTTCAATTAAATATTTTTCTAAACGGACAAAAACCATGTAATAGATGAATATCAATTTCAAAGTTTGCTTTTAACTAATTGATGCATATATAAAACATCAAATGTAGATTAACGGTAGTGCAGTGGATATTCAAACTTTTTTTTTAAAAATCAGTTTTTAACATTATTTCTTTCATAGATGACAATGTTTTCTCTAAGTGCATCAGAGGAACATAGAGCTGAAAAACAAACAGACCAAACAAATATTTATAAAATACTTGAAAATTGCCAACTTAATATTGATTTACATACAATTTGAGAGAACATTTGCACGCAGAGTAAAAATTACGTTTACACACCAAGAGAAAAAATTGCATACATATAAAGTTTACACCTGTAAGTAAATGAGAGCATGTGAAAGGGATCTTAGATTAAAATTTGGTTCAATTTAGAAAATTGATTGAAGAAGCTCGGTCTCGAATATTTAAACAAGTTTATAGCTTAAAATCTAATTGTCTGTTGCATTGTGTAATACATCCTTATTTTCATTATTTTTCATTGCCAAAAGAGTTTTAATACTTGTTCAGTTATGCTTAGGAAGAGGATCTTGGTCATAGTGCAAATTTCTTAGAGATTTTTCTAATTTTTTCCTTTTTTTTCTTTTTCTTTCTTTCTTTCTTTTTTCTTTTTTTTTAAAGAAATACCTAGAAGCAACTAGGAAAAGAAGTTCATTGACGTATATATCTAATATTTCAAAAATGACACCAGAATTATAGGTCTACAATGCTCAACAGGTGTTCTTCTGTATTACAGTGTACCATTAGTGAAAATTGTTTACATCTGAGCATACCTCATCCTTAAGGCATGTCTTAGGATATTTTCTAAGAAGAATCTTTGAAGACTAATTAAAAATTCCCGCTGAGGCCTCATAGTGTACAGTATATGATTTTGCTACATACAGTTCTAAAAACATTGCGTATTCTAAAGAATTAAGAGCTCTGAAAAAAAATATGCTGTTAACTTTCCGCATTGATTCATTGTTTACGAATGTGAAAAACCTGGACAACAAGATGTACATGTATTAATACATGCAGGTTACAGATAACTTGAAAATTTATGTTTAATTAATACGTGTACAAACGTATTATGATCTTAAACTTAAAACATCGTTATCTAACTATACATCAGTGACTATTTTGCGCCACAATGCTAGTTGAACTTCACGGATATTCAAAATGAACTGTATTTATACGAATAAGTGTATGTCGTTTGTATGACTTATGTCGTAAATCAACTTATTCTGTCGTTTATGACGGATTTTACGATTTATTATCTAATTATTAGGAATTAGAATTTCTGGTAAGTGCGACTTATCATGTCGCACGTACAACTCGGTACTTGTCGTTCGTACAACTCATTATCACATAATTATGGCTTGTTATGTCGTGCCAACTACGATATAATGCGTAAGTGCGGCTTTGTATCTCGCACGTGCGACTTAATATCTCCTTTTTGCGTCTTATTGTCTGGCAGGAGGATAAAACGAAAGCTCAACTAGGACCTCGGCCAGCTCGGGTCATCCGCAAATAGTTCGTCATTTTGCGTAGTAATAAAATATTACATGAACTCTTCAGGCATTAAAGGCACTAAAGTAAATTCATCTATATATATACGGTGACCGCAGGTCACCTTATATTTCAATTGAATTTTATTTAATAAATTTTAAAAATCTTACTCAAAACAATTATATTAGTAGCTTTATATCTATCTACATTCTTATAGATTGGCACTAACGTGAAAGCAATAATTTTAACGTTCAAACACAAGACGAGTTGTTAATGGGTCAGGACCATAAGAAGCTGTGTCGGACGCCTCCCCCTTCCCCCAAAACAATTGTGCCAGTATATTCTATAAAAACAAAGAAAATTCTTTTCTTGTGCCCCCTTTAATCATTTTTCAAGCCCCTTTCAATAATTTCTCAAGCATCAGCCTGGCATTGCACACATTCGTAGATCTAATTCATAAATAAATTTGATTACTTAACAATTTTTTGGTTTCATTTTAGGATTTAAATGTTAATAAGGTTAATCTTTTCACAAATGTTAATTGCTTAACTTTTTCAAACAGTATTATTATTGGCCGCTGGAGCAGCCGACTATTTGTAGTTTTGTTAGAAAGTGCACAATGGGAAATGAGTCATTTATTTTAAATTTACTTTATTCATTCAGTTTCATCATTTATCATTTAAGAAACTGGAATCTTGCTAAAAGACTTTTCAAAAACAAAGGCAACAAATATGAAAATAAGCATCTGAACATTTTATCATGTGAAGAAAAAAATACTTATTTCACTCTATGCTTTCTTTCTACCTTACATAAACAAAGATTTATTTACTACTTTCATTCTTTTATATCATAACACAAATAATAAAATATGAAGGAAATGAAGATTACGAACAGTTATCAAATTCAAAGTCCATTGAAACAATATTTTACATGTTATTTGGAGCAGAGCAAACACGAACCTCCTAAAATCATCAAAGGCGGGACCAGCCGCCAAAGAGGAGCAAGCACCTTTCCGACCAGCCACACCCGCCATGTGCTCATTGTCATGATAAATGGAAAAAATCGTTGACAATTCAGTGTTTAAATAATGGCTTAACAAACAGCACGAAAAACGTCAAGCAGAATTCGACTTAATGATAGATTGTATTTGCCGACAAGGTCATTGTATCGACCATAGAACCTGCAAAATGATGAACGTAAACTAGATTCTTTTCATCCCCGTTTCATCAACACGCCTGTCAATATTCCGCCCTGTTTCAGAAATTGTTCGCACCCAGATTTTTTAATATCTTGAATTTATTTTCAAACAAGTTTTACAACTGATGTTCAACTACAAACATATGCTAAAAAATGAAACAAGAGACCCAAGGGCCTTAACGGTCACCTGAGTATAATACAAGAAATTAGAGGATCCATAGAGTATGAAATGAACTGAAAGGTGAAGCTTTGTTGCCCAAAAGCAAGAAAAATAGGGTGATCAGAATCAACAAAATAATTAGTCTAGTATTCATTAAAAGTTCATAAATTAGGTTTTAATCTGTTCCCCATTTATCACTCTCACCAGACAGTATATAAACAAACTATCAGTGCTTCTGTACTCTTTTAATTCCTTGTTGAAATACATTGGCCTCTCTTGGTCTTTGATGAACATTTAATAAGACAAGTTATTTTTGTCTCATTTTTATTTATCTATTACTTACAAGTCTACCTATTAAAACTATGAACTTAAGTACTTTTTGTATTATACAATAAAAATTCTTGCATAATTCTCTTATTCTATTAACCTTTCAAGTACATTATTTACAGTGATTATTCATCACAAGTAATTGGCAAAGGGGAATAACTCCTCTCAGTAGAATACAAATTAATAGAGCCCTGGCCTGGACCAGAACACTTGACCAAATGGTCCTGATGTTCAAAAATCTGGTAAAAATACCCTTCCTTATTAAAACTTTTACTTTTTTGCCTCTGATATGCCAAGGTGCAAAGAAGATTTTTAAAGCATTAATGCGTTTTCACTATATAATAAATAGAGCCCCGACCTAACATCAGAACCTCTGATCCAGGGGTCATGAAATTCACAATTTGGAAGAGGCATCCTTGCTTATCATAACTATGTATTCAATTAAATAATACCCAGGAACAGAGACGAAGATTTTCAAATAATTAATGAATTTTTACTATATAATCGATAGAGCCCCGCCCTAACACCAGAACCCCTGACCCTGGGGCCATGAAATTCACAATTTTGGAAGAGGCATCCTTGCTTATCATAACTATGTCTTCAATTAAATAATACCCAGGAGAAGAGAAGAAGATTTTCAAAGAAATAATGCACTTTCACTATATGATCTATATAGCCCCGCCCTAGCACCAGAACCCTTGACCCTGGGATCATGAATTTCACAATATTGGCAGAGTCACTCTTCCTTATCATAACTATGTATTCAATGTGTTTCAATAATACCCAGGAGTAGAGAAGAAGATTTTCAAAGAAATAATGTACTTTCATTAAATGATCTATATAGCCCCGCCCTAGCACCAGAACCCCTGACCCTGGGGTCATGAATTTCATAATTTTAGTAGAGTCTCCCATGCTTATCATAACTATGTATTCAATTTGTTTCAATAATTCCCAGGAGTAGAGAAGAAGTTTTTCAAAGAAATAATGTACTTTCACTATATGATCTATATAGTCCCGCCCTAGCACCAGAACCCCTGACCCTGGGGTCATGAATTTCACAATTTTGGTAGAGTCACCCTTGCTTATCATAACTATGTATTCTATTTGTTTCAATAATACCCAGGAGAAGAGAAAAGGTTTTCAAAGAAATAATGTACTTTCATTATATGATCTATATAGCCCCGCCCTAGCACCAGAACCCTTGACCCTGGGGTCATGAATTTCATAATTTTAGTAGAGTCTTCCATGCTTATCATAACTATGTATTCAATTTGTTTCAATAATTCTCAGGAGTAGAGAAGAAGATTTTCAAAGAAATAATGTACTTTCACTATATGATCTATATAGTCCCCCTTTAGCACCAGAACCCCTGACCCTGGGGCCATGAATTTCACAATTTTGGTAGACGACTCAATGCTTATTACAATCATGCCAACAGTTTGACTGCTTGATGTTCAGGAGTAAAGAAGAAGATTTTTAAAGATTGCGTTAATTTTGATGGTTTTGGCCCCACCCCTCAGGCCCCAGGGGGGCAGGGGCTACGAATATCACAATTTTTGTTCCCCTTTACCCATACATGCTATATGCCAGAATTGGTTGAAATTGGTTTGCTGGTTCCAGAGAAGAAGCTTAAAATGTTCAAAAGTTTACTACCGACGAACGACGGACGAAAAGAGATAGCAATAGGTCACCTGAGTGACTCAGGTGACCTAAAAAGGTTAAGATAGCAAACGGAGATCGATCTAAACAAGAGGCCCAAGGGCCTTAACGGTCACCTGAGTACAATACAACAATTTAGAGGATCCATACACTGATAAATGAAGCTTTGTTGCCCAAAAGCAAGAAAAATAGTGTGATAAGCATCAACAAAATAATTGGTATAGAATCTATCTGTCCCCCATTTATCACTATTACCATGCAGACTATGAACAAAATGTCTATTTTTAACCCCATATTATTACTTCTCACATTGGTCTCTCTTGGCCTTTGAAGAACATTAAAAAAGATAAGTTATTTTTGCCTCACTTTTATTCATCTATTTTTTCCAAGTCTACCTGATCAATAAAACAATGAAAGTACTTTTTGTATTATACAATAAATATTCTTGCATAATTCTCTTATTTTATTAACCTCTCAAATACATTATTTACAGTGATTAATTATCAAAGGTGAATGGCAAAGGGGAATAACTTTGCTCAGCAGAATACAAGTTCATAGAGCCCTGGCCAGGACCAGAATACTTGACTAAATAATCCAGGTGTTCAAAATTCTGGTAAAAATACCCTTGCATATTAAAACTTTTACTCTGTTTGCCTCGAATATGCCCAGAAGAATACAAGATTTTCAAAGAAATGCATGTTCACTATGTTATTAAATAAATAAAGCCCCCCTCCCCCTTTACACCAGAAAATCTTACCCAGGAGCCATGAACTAATAATTCTGGAAGAAGCACTTTGCTCATCATAACTATACACATGTTTCTTTGCTTTATTACCAGTAGTAGAAAAAATATTTTGAAAGAAATTATGCATTTTCACTATAATATCAATAGAACCCCCCCCCCCCCCTTCAGAAGAACCCCTGACCCAGGGGCCATGGATTGCACAGTTTTGGAAGAGGCATTCTTCCTTATCATAACCATGCACTTCCTTTGTTTGAACAATACCAAGGAGCAGAGAAGAAGATTTCGAAAGAATTTATGCATTTTCCTTATATATCAATAGAGCCCCGACATAACACCAGAACCCTTCATCCAGGGGCCACAAAATTCACAATTTCTGAGGAGGCTGTCATGCTCATCATAACTATGCACTTAGTTTATTTAATATCCAGGAGAGAGAAGATTTTCAAAGAAATAATGCATTTTCACTATATATATATCAATTGAGCCCCACCCTGACACCAGAACCCCTGACCCAGGGGCCATGAAATTCACAATTTTTGAAGAGGCAACCATGCTCATCATAACTATGCACTAAGTTAGTTTATTTAATACCCAGGAGTAGAGAAGAAGATTTTCAAAGAATTAATGCAAATAATTAAGAGAGCCCCCCCCCCCCCCAACACCTGAACCCCTAACCCAGGGGCCATGAAATTCACAATTTTGGAAAAGGCAGCCATGTTCATCATATCTATGTTCTTAGTTAGTTTATTTAATATCCAGGAGCAGAGAAGAAGATTTTCAAAGAATTAATGCATTTTCACTATATAGTCAAAAGAGCCCCCCCCCCCCCTTACACCAGAACCCCTGACCCTGGGGCCATGAAATTCATAATTTTGGAAGAGGCACTCTTGCTCATCATAACTATGTACTTAGTTACTAAATTTAATACCAAGGAGCAGAGAAGAAGATTTTCACAGAATTAATGCATTTTCACTATAAAGTCAATAGACCCCCCCCCCCCCCAAACACCAGAACCCCTGACCCTGGGGTCATGAAATTCACAATTTTGGAAGAGGCACTCTTGCTCATCATAACTTTATACTTGGTTTGTTTTTTTAATACCCAGGAACAGAGAAGAAGATTTTCAAAGAATTAATGAATTTTTACTATATAATCAATAGAGCCCCGCCCTAACACCAGAACCCCTGACCCTGGGGCCATGAGATTCACAATTTTGGAAGAGGCATTCTTGCTCTTCATAACTATGTACTTAGTTAGTTTATTTGATACCCAGGAGCAGAGAAGAAGATTTTCAAAGAAATAATGAACTTTCACTATGTGACCTATATAGCCCCACCCTAGCACCAGAACCCCTGACCCTGGGGCCAAGAATTTCACAATTTTGGTAGAGGGTTCAATGCTTATTACAATGATGCCAACAGTTTGACTGCTTGATGTCCAGGAATAAAGAAGAAGATTTTTAAAGATTGCATTAATTTTGGTGGTTTTAGCTCCACCCCTCAGGCCCCAGGGGGGCAGGGACCAGGAAATTCACAATTTTTGTTCCCCCCATAGATGCTATATGCCAAATTTGCTTGAAATTGGTTGAGCGGTTTTAGAGAAGAAGCTGAAAATGTTCAAAAGTTAACGCACGACGGACGACGCACGACGACAGACAAAAACCGATAGCAATAGGTCACCTGAGTGACTCAGGTGACCTAAAAATCCCACTAACAAGGGAAATTTGGGAACAGGGTTATAAAACACAGATCCCTAAATTCAAGAGATGGGATCAAGTGCATAAGAGTGAGCATCCTCCTGCGTATGGCATGATGTACCAGTAATAATGTATCATTTCAATACGGAGAAGACAGGTCATCTAGTATGGTATATCAATAAGGAGACAAAAGTGTCCAAAACAGTAACCAGAGGACACCAATGTGGAGAATAGATTAGATGACCTCTGATTTCCCTACTAATTTTGTACTGTATAAGGTGACCTCTGGTCTCCATAACATATACAATTTTATGTGACCTCTGGTCTCCCTAATGATATACTATATAAGGTGAACTCTTGTCTCTCTAATAAGGTTCAATATAAGGTGGCCTCTGGTCTCCCTAATAATTTACAGTATAAGTTGATCTCTGGCCTCCCTACTAATGTACAATATAAGGTGACCTCTGGTCTCCGTGTTCCTATTCAACTTTTGGTTTTATAAAACTTTTTTAACGTAATACATAACCTCTGGAATCCGTATTCCTATTCAACTTTTGGTTTTACAAAACTTTTTTAACGCAATACATTACCATATAACTTATATCATATATGTTAAAATATAACAGCCAATATTGTTCTTTACCCCCTATTGCATATTTCCTAACATCAGATGAAAGAAATGCATTTCTATTTGTTGTATATTACATTTGTAAAGGCTTCCCAGTAGAACGATTTAATCTACTTTCACTTTCACTTAGCTGAGTAAACAGGTTTGATAGTTGTGAATGAAAAGATGACTTTAGGTCCTATTTTAGTGTACGTTTTATCCTTCTGCTATTATCTCGGTCGTACGACTTAGTATCTCGTAGGAAAGACAAAGGGAAAATATACCTTATATGTATCAAATCTTTGAAGGTTTTTTTTTTCTTTTGTGTGTGTGTGTGTGTGTGTGTGTGTGTGTTTTGTTCTTTTTATCCCCCCCCCCCCTCTAAATGGATGAATTAAGCACATTAGATGCCATCTATATAAGAAGAGAAACAAAAAGTTCAAAATTAAAGTAACGTTATCATTATGCCTCAACCAAACAGTGTTCACGGTCAAACGAACACAATTTCCCAGCTGAGGGTGAGTATGCTGTCTTTTATAAAAATTAAGAATTTTTCAATTGAAATTTATTTATGACAATTTTCATATACAAATTTAAATTGAAAAATTCTAAATTTTTGTAGAGGACAGTGCCATAGTCCGAGAAACTTATGATAATCTGGTGATTGTCAAAGCCCATGAGCGCATTCTTATTCGCAGATTCCTTTGTAACCGTGATCAGTGTCAAATTCTTAATTATTTTATGATTCTTTGTTTCATGTTTGTTACAAGGATAACGATGTGAATGAGTTGAAGGGACAGTAGGAATATCTCGCCAAAGAGTCTGTATCTATAGCCACTTATTCTAACAAATACCTGTATTACGTTTAATCTTCCGAATTTAAATATGACTGCTTTAGGAACCCTTTCATTAATCTTTAACAAGTAAAGTTAGCCAAGAAAAATTATATACAGAAAAAAGTAAAACTTTCATTGTAGGAATGTATCCATAGAGATGATACAGATGCAAAGAAGGTTTGGCTTTGGATAAATTTCGATTAAGCTTCTGTTGAGTGAGCTGAAGGAGACTTTTAAATAGAGAAAAAAATCATGTATATTACCTGTTAAGTTAAAGGTATTGACAACCTCTTTTAATTCTTCAAGTGGTTTATTACATGCTTTACCCTCTGTAGCGTACCTCAGAGCTGTCAGTGGACAAATGTTTCTGAAAGAATTTTTCTTGAAAAATTATTAGGTGACCTTGACGAAAAAATTAAAAGTCTCACTGTTCTCAGGCTTGGCATCTTTGAAGTTCATATCAAGTTGAAAATTTGAATGTTGATTTTTAGTACATGTAGTTAATAAGAACATTTAACTGGTCCTTAAAGAAAGTAATCTGAATTTTCTTACCTGACTGTGTATCTGGCTGCTTCATTTTCTACAAGTGAAATCGTTAAAACTGTCATCCAGAAACCTTGACAAATGAAAAAATTCAGATTACAGTTCGTAACGCTATCTTTTATATTGGAATCATTTTAATTTATGTGGGTTAATGTTCGCGGGCAATCAAAATTCTGTTGGTTACGTGGGGACGTAATTTTGTGGGTAACTCGTATATACAGAAGATTCAATGAATAAATATACTGACAAAATAATTGTTCATGGGGATGTAAGTTCGTGGATTAGGGTGACCCACGATCATAGGTCCCCCACCAACATTGATGATTCAACAATATCTAAGAAATAAGTATTAAGTTTAAAACTTCACTTGGAATGAAATGGGTCGTTTACGTGATCAAATCGTCTAAGAGGCCTTCGACCCTCAGAGGTTTTGAATATGTGATCGAACTGCTTCATTTCACAGTTTTTCAACATGTTTTAGTCTTCTTATTCATTTCTTATATAAAATTTGAGACGGACAATTACATGTAAATATTGAACGAAATCTCCGTCGTAGATTGTGGCACAAGGGCACAAGGTGTAAATCGGCTTGGTGAGCAACGTCAACATTGAAATCCTTTGAAAGCAAGGAGTTCTGTTTTAAAGAGAATATATATAGATTACTCGGAGAATCTTACTGTTGTATCTTTAAAGACCACAGACACTTGTCTCATCAATTATACTTTTGGGAGAAAATTATTACAGAAACAAGTGCCTGTGCTAAAAAAAAGATAAGGATATCCATTTTTCTTGCGGGGCTGGACTGAAATTCATGAAATGCACTTTATTCAGAATGACTAAGTAAACATAACTTTTCATTACAGAGTTTAATTTAACATAAGAATTTTTTCAGGATAGAAACAGGGGAGGGGGATGTTAAATGGAATAAGTACTGAATTTCTTCAGTTTTATTTTGATGCAACGTGTTTATCAAATAACATCAATATACCACCAACTTGTAAAATCAAATATATCAAAACTCGGCTATTAATGCATGTAGACGCATGAATAGACTGACAAATCAATTCACTGTTTACAGAATTTCGAATTGATTTATGGCAAGCCCTTTTACTATTTATTCGTAAAATAAATTTTCACTCAAAATTACAGAGGTATCTCTTAATTTAGAGAGATATCTCTTAAAAAACAGAGATATCTCTCAACTTAAAGAAATATCTCTCAACTTAAAGAGATATCTCTCTAAGAAAGAGATATCTCTTTCACTTAGAGAGATATCTCTTACACTAAGAGAGATATCTCTTTTACTTAGAGAGATATATCTTCCACTTAAAGAGATATCTCTTTTCCTTTGAGAGATATCTCTTTCGTTAAGAGAGATATCTCTAAGTGTTAAAGAGATATCTCTTTCACTTAGAGAGATATCTCTTTCACCTAGAAAGATATCTCTTTTACTTTGAGAGATATCTTTCCAAGTTAAAGAGATATCTCTCTAGGTTTATCTTAAGAGATATCTCTCAAAATGAAAGAGATATCTTTCAAAAGTGTCCATAAGAGATATCTCTCAAGCAAAACGAGATATCTCTTTACTGTAAAGAGATATCTCTCTACATTATTTTTATTTAAAAAGCATTTTTAATGACTTCTCCCTTTACCGGAAGTAAGCTTTATATTCACGAAAATGCATTAAATCAAAACGAAAGTAGAGACGAGAAAGTAGAACATGTGGTGTTTTATGGTATTTGTGAGCAAATTACTGACTTGCAGGTGTAACAATGACCCCAAGATACGACACAAAAAGGGAGCTGTCCTTCTACAAGTGCTTGATCAACTGATTTAATGGAAAGAAGTTCAGAGTAAGAAACTTAGCCGATCATGAAACATCGTAAACGTATCACAGGGGCTTGCTCCCGAAATGTAAACAATATAAATTAAAAAATATATATATATTAAAACCCATCGTGATGACTGATACAATTTAGTACATCTACAAATATTTCTTTCTTTTTATTAACATTGTTTACATTCCGGAAGCACCCCCTGTGATCGTTACCTGCATACGAGTTGGATACCTTATGTTATTAACATGTTATTAACGCGTTCAACTCGACATTTAGATATATCGACGACGTATTGTCAATCAACAATGGCTATTTTCATTCTTATGTCGATACGATATATCCTGGTGAACTTGAGATAAAAGATACCACAGAGTCTGACACATCTGTTTCATATTTGGATATTTTACTTGAAAAAGACGTTAATGGTAATCTAACAACCAAGCTTTATGATAAACGTGATGACTTTAACTTTTCAATCGTCAACTTCCCTTACGTATGCAGCAATATACCTTCATCACCTGCATACAGGGTATATATCTCTCAGTTGATTCGATATGCAAGAGCATGCTCTACGTATGTACAAATTCTAAAACGAGGTAAATTATTGACAAATAAGTTGATGAAACAAGAATATCAGCTGTCTCGTTTAAAGTCATCATTTCGTAAGTTCTTTGGTCGATACAATGACCTTGTCAGCAAATACAATTTATCATTGAGTCAAATGCTGACTGACGTTTTTCATACTAATTGTTAGGCCATTATTTACACACCGAATTGTCGACGGATTTTTCCTTTATTTCCTGATCATGACAAGGAGCACACGGCGGGTGTCACCGGTCGGCAGGGGATGCTCACTCCTCCATGGCACCTGATCCCACCTCTGATGTTCGTTATCTCCATATATTTCATAATCTGAACCTCAAAATGTTGAAAACAAATAATTTGTCCTCCCCCCCCCCTTTGTGCCTGTATGTAAGGGGGGGGGGTTAAAATGTTATAAGTGAAGAAAAAATATATGTAATTTTCTGTATTTATCATCTTGAAAATAGTTAGTTTGTCCTTCACTGGTATGGAAAGAAATAAGCTGACTTGAAAAATAGCCCTCTATCCCCCTTCTTAGAATGAAATGATTGTTCCCTTAATTTGAAACATATTTAGCTTTCCTGTGCTGAAGGCTCAATTGAGCTTTGAATTCAGATCTAAATTTGTGGATCAAATGAAAGATGTTCATAGTTTAATTGACCCTTTAGGGTAGTATGGGGCAACAATGGGTGATCAAGTTTTACATTAGAATATGTAGGAATTTTTTTATAGAATCTCTCAATCAAGCTAAGGCATAATTGTTCATACAGTAAAATTTCATTATCTCAAACTCGATTGGACCAAGAAAAAACTTTGAGATATCTGAGGATTCAAGATATCAAGGGTATATTACTTAAACAATAAGCAATTGGGACTTCGACATATCCATGGTATTCGAGATATCTGAGTGTTCTCGATACTGAAGTTCAACTGTATTTACATGGAAGCATTAGGTTGTGTATAAATTTGTACGTTCAACCAAATTTGTTCAAATTATGACATGGGGGGTATGGTGGGGCCATTATGAGCAATTAAAGTTTTACAAAGGAATATATATGGAAATAAATCTTTAAAAATCTCTTCTCAAGAACAATAAAAAGATAAGTAATATTTCCAAGGAAGCTACTGGGATCCTCATGTCTCCAGGGGCTAGGATTGAGCCAGCTAGAACAGGCAAAACAATCAAGTTTTACTTCGGAAGATGGGGGGGGGGGGATCTGCTTATAAAGAACAACATGGTCATAGTGACTAAGGTGATCATTGTGGCCATGGGCCTTTTGACTTCATGTTTTTCTAGGGCAGCTGCAGACCACTGTATTTAATTTGAAAAGATCAGTTACATGTAATGATTAATGAAACATCCCCTACAATTTTTTTCTGTCATTGTTTCAGATATGAAGTGCAACAAGGGTATGTCCAACACACTTTCTGTGACACTTGTTTTTGAATGCGAAGGATGTCCAAGATTCCAGTGATTGTAACAAGTCAATATGATTACCTGAAAAAGTGCGAGTTAATTTTTACATGTGTATGTATTTTTTTTATTATAACTTAGAAATATGCTGTTAACAACATTGAAACGTGAAATAGATCAATTCAAAAAGACACTATGTTCTCTTAAAGTCTTAAAAGATTTTTCCTTGTGTATGTGTAGGTCACAAGTACAGTCTGCAGAGACAAGCACTTCTATCATTGAGGGAAAGTCTGCATTGTCAAGTTCTTTGCATAGACAGAAAAGAGATAAGCAATGGGGTGTATGGACCAGACTAGGATTTAAGTCAGGGCCCCCTGAATCAGTAGTCATTTTCTCTACCAATTTAACTATCTGGCCACCAGAAATTGAACCCACCTGAATGCCCTATATGGATATGTGGAACTCTGAAATATCCAAGTTTTATCAATAAGAGAGGTTTTACTCCACCTATGTCAAGTGACCATAATTTAACAATTCACTGTATACACTTCAACAAAACTGCAACCCAAGAAGAAATTATTGTCCTATTATTAATCTTCTGGCTACAGAAAAAAAAAAATTACATGTGATGTTAGTATAGTTTTTTATTATGTTTACTGATACTGTGGACCTTATTTAAACTTGTAGGATATCAATCTCCTATGCAGAGTTGTCATTTGTTCCTCTCTCAGACATGTATGGGCCAATGGTAGAGAGTGGTAGAATATTTCACATGTATAATATTTTTACACAATACATTCAATTTAACGGCAGTCAAGTTTATAACTTAAGATTTTTGTTTTTTTTTTTTTTTTTCAATTCTAGCTTCCAATACACAAGTTTAAGTTTCATTTTTCATTCATCTATAAGTAATATAAAATTTTTGTCTTTTCTTTCATTTTCTTATGTTGTTCATATTTACCTTACACTTTTTTGGGTGAGGGCTGAATGAAAAGGCTGACTGTAGCCCAAACCCTGATTTCCTATTGAAGAAGCATTGGAAGTTTGTGCCTCATGCATAAATTGAATATATGTGTGATGGCTTTGACCCAAGGTTATTTGATGAAGTTTGAGGTGATTTTATAAAATAAAAATTTATAAAAATCTATAATTCCTGTTTGACTATATCTTGTAATTGAGAACATTTAGAGGCTCATACTTATCGCAAATATTGAGCATGACCTGAGGTTATGACTAATC